AGCAGGACATCAAATAGTAACCAAACCCACTACAGGCCCCCTCACCCCATTTTCCTCCTTTCTCTTGTCACAGGGATACTGGAGACCTCATACTGGTTGTCCTGCCTCATTTGAATAGCCACATTCACTTTGTTGCACCATTTGATGCATTTGAGAGAGAATATCATCAGCCTCAAAGGCCAGCAGGCAAATGAAAAGGGATAAATTTTACATGCATGCTTTTGAAAACAGAATTCTCAGCATGCAGTTTGTGAGCAAAGTGATGCGATATTTCTCTTTATGGGAATAACTTCATATCTGATCACCACACACCTCTGTACAAGTAAGCCAGCACAGCTCCCTAATGCAATTCTCTGCTCAGGGACACAGATTTCTCTGGCTTCAGTGACAGCCCTGGACACTGACAGCCACCTGTGACATGAACTGTACACCCCTGAAGAGGAACATGATTAATGTCATTTTCCCCAAGAAATTGCCGTGGTGTTTAGATTAGGAATGAGCCAAATCAAGTAAAATCCTAGAGAAGACAAAGCAATGTGCACCTTTCCTTGAATTAGGATGTCAAATTAAACTGCGTGGTCTTCAGTACAATTCTCCTTTAAAATTCTTTCCCCTAATTCCTCCCCCTCCCAGGCTGATGAAGTTATTAACAGAAGAGATCTTAGGGAAGTAAAATGCTTTTTAGCTCCTTACCAGTTCTCAAGGATGCAAAGATTTTACGCCTCTAATTCAACAGTCCTTAAAAACTATTTGCAGCATGAACCCCACCAGCTACACTGTGATGCTTCCACAAAATCTAAAGCCCAGCTAAAGATAAAGCCCTCTGTCCCCTAGAGGGCTGGCTGGGTATGAGGCACATTCTGTCCACCTCAGTTTGGTTTGCAATAAACATGATGTTCTCCCAGAAGAAGGGGAAAGGAAAAAAAAAAGGGCAAAAAATTCCAAGACAGAGAGCCTCCAAAGAAATGGAATCCAGATGTTGGAGATAACACAGCCCACTAAGAAGCCATAAACAGCTCCTGTTAGAGCACATTTTCACTTCAGCATTTTCAAATGGGTCTTGTTTAATTACTGTGCACTGGGCTCAGCAACAAACCTGCATTTGGCCATGTTTGCTACATTTGGTAATCTTGCTCAGAGCATCTGTTTAGTCCTTTTGCCATGTGAAATCTCCTGTCCTCCCCCCCACCTTGTAACTGCATCTTTTCAATCAGTCCTCTGAGATTTAGTGGCATTTGCTTCCACTGCTCCCCAAAGGGAATCCCTACCAGTTAGGGAGCCAGGTCCTGGCTCAAGATCATGCCTTGCACTCTCACTACATCATCTTACCTGCTCTAAGCTCTCAATGTCTGCACGAAACCCTGAGAACAATGGCACTTCCAAGACAGCCATGTTAGAAGATCCAGAGTGTAGCCATCTTCCAATGAGAAGAAAAAGAGAGAAAGAATGAAAACAAACTCAGTATCAAGATAACAAATGACACATGAACAACTCAGGATGGAGAACAACTGAAACAAACTTCAGAGGAAAATATTAAAAGGATCTGCTCTTCTTTGAAGCACTTCTTGAGAGCCACAGTCTCCTTGGTTTTACAAAATCCTCTTTTCTGCTTTTATTCAACAAAAATTAAGCACAACTCACAGAGGTCAGAGATGCAGATGTCCACGCAAATGGAAGCAGAAAAGCAGAAGGGAGGATGTAGTCTCCTGGGGGGCTGCTTGCCTTATTTTTCAATTAATTACTGAGAAAATGCACTTGGTAAAAAAGGAAATAACCCCTTGGAGTGGAAAAAACTTCTGTTCTTTCCTAAGCAAAGGGCTGTAAATGGATTGTGGTGGAAGAGGAATGTTACTTCCCAGTTCCAGGCAGAGTCATTCAACCCTGGAGTTACGTAAATGGCCATTTCCCACCAGCATGGAATTGACACTTTGCTACTGAGTCAGTGAACTCGCTCTCTAGTTACTAGTGTTAAAGAATTCACTGCCTGTATTGTCCTCTATAATATCAATGGAGAGTCCAAAACCTACTGCAATTCAGACTTGTTGTCACTGAAGAAAAACAACACAGGAAGGGATGGAGAGAAAGTATATTTGGGCCCCTGCAAAAAGATTTCCATTTCCTGCAGCATGGCAGAGGAGTGGACAAGGTAACAAAGCAGCTCCTGCTGATTCCAGAACAATGCTCCTTTTCTCTGCATTCACATACAGTCAGCTCTGAACTATCCCTCCTTGGCAGCTTACCTGTTTACTGTTTACTTGCACCACAAACCCCATGAGCTTGGACCCAGGAGGGCTTATTGGCTCATGCCCAGCACAGAGAAAACATAGGACACAGCTTCTAGCACCAAATCTGCCAGAGCTGAACTGGCTCCTCAGGGCTGCTTGGAGGCCCCCACAGCCAGGGTGGGGTGTGAGCTCTCTGAAGCACTGCAGGGAGCCAGCCTGGGTGTAACACCACACCCCAGCCCATATGCACGCAGTAGCACGGGATGGGCTGTGGACAGACCCAGTTGGCTGTGTGTAAGACAGTTCAGGGCTGACAGTCTCCTACAGACATGAACCTTGTTAATCCCAGTCTAACTCCACGCACCACACTAAAAAAAATCCTATAGTAGCCCTTTATCTGCCTTTTTCCCATTCTGTTAGATATCTCGGCCTTCTACTTCTCATCCAGTTTTCTCTTTAAGTTCTTGAAAGCATCCCAAGGACTTCACTGAGCATAACGACACATAATTACATTCTGAAGAATACCACCAAGCTCAAAATATTCCAGTTGTCATCCTTAGATGCACTCCTCTATTTGCATCACCTAAATAAGATGATGGAGTTAAAAGAGCATCATTACAAGAAGGGGAAGAAAGGGTGTATTTCATTTGCTTTTGTTTTCTTTCCAAGCAATCAATCTCCTCAGACTGGGCTTCCTCTCAAATTTCTGTCTTTGCTTTAGCAATTCCCAGGGCAGAAGTTTCAGAAACAACAACAGAAAGGTTGTGTTGATGCAGGATAAGCTTAGTTACAGGCATCTTCAAGGGATTGACAAGTCTTTATAAGCCTACCTCCCCAGTACAAGCTGCAGCACTTAGGCAAAGGGAGAAGAGGCTGAGAAAGTGCTCTGGTGTTATATACAGCCAGAAGAATGTGGTGTGTTTCCTGTATCAATGAGTGTATCAATATACATGTGCTGATCAGCAAACTAGATTGTCTCTGAGAAACAGGCAGGACATGATGCAGATTGGACTTTCCTACCTAGTGCATGTCTCCAGTATGACTTTGTATTCCCGATGGTCTTGATCTGAAGCTGGGTCATCATCATCCACCAGTGCCCTCTCTCTGTGCAAGGCTTCAGGGCGATTCTCATCTGGAGAGACAGATCGCAGGGGATTTGGAGCTTGAAGGTGCTGCTCTGACTTTGGCTCCTTCAGGTTTACCAGAAGCTGGAAAGCTGGTTTGGCAGTGGGATCAGGTACATTGTAAGTGACATCAATCTGCAGCAGAAAGGAGGGAAAACAAAAACAAATCAGGACAGTTTATTCAACCCCAACATTTCACAGCATCTACAAATGTTCCCTAAAAGCAGCATAAACACCAGATCTCTTCAGAGAGAGGTAATAGCGGGCACAGAGGCAACACAGGCTTTACCACACAGTTACATATAGGTAAGGCTGCACCAGAGCAGATTCACCCTGGTACCATCACATTTACTTCTATAAGTTAAAGCAAGACCATGAGAGAAATTCAAAGTGTAACTTCTTCCTCATAACAAACTGTGATTAAAAATGTAGCAAACAGACTTTGAGTCCAAAGATCATCTGCTCACACACTTTCTCCAGCCCCATAGCAACTTTACCTGCATCAGACAGCAGCCTTCACCTTTGGCACTCACAAACAGCCCCGTTGGAATACTGGGGATCTGGGGAGAATCCACAGTTAAAACACAGACAAGAATGGAAATGAATATCGATTATGGGGGTTATTCTGTACAAAATATCTTTCTGGTTATAAAGGAGACTGCAGAAGTGGAGTGAGTATGGCTTATTCTTTCCAGCCACCTGCATTTAACAATGGCAGAAACAAGCAGCAGCACAAAATAAGCATCAGGCATTAGTTACGGTGAAAAATGCCTTTTGAGTGCTGCCTCCTTCACTTCAGAAGCCATACACAAACCCCCAGAAAGTTCCAAGATCTCAGCATTTAACTTGTGCTTTTACCATTTCTGAACTTACCTGAGTTGTCGTTCAGAACCCAGCTCACATGGACTGCTTTAGAAATTTGGCTACAAGACCACAAGAGCACCTACCACTGCAGTCTGGAGGACTTTTTTATTCATCTTGTTAAGCTCAAATGTCTCCTGGTAGTCTAGATTAGTAGAAGCCAAGGAAATGGTGAGGTTGACTCCTCCAACGTACGAAAGGATAGCATATTCAGCCAGAGCCTGCAGGGCTACACACGTGTCCTAGGGATCAGAATACAGGAACATAGTAAACTTAGAAACAAGCACTGTGCTGTACAGTCATTAGCTTCTGGTAGCAGAATCTTCCTTATTAATTCAGATATGAAAAGAAATAGCAGGTTTTGTTCACTTTTGCTGTCAAAGGCATCCGTAAGGACAAAGTCTAAGCTCCTTTCAAATTATCAATCTGAGAAAGAAGTGGCAAAGAGCACTGGAAAGCCTTAATTCTTACCAGGGCACGGACAGTTACTGTCTAGACTCGAGACACAAACTCTGCATTGACCATTCCTGAATCAATTGATTTCCACAGTTGATTATGCCTGCATCAAAGCTTCCTTTTTTTGCAGGCAGCCCACCTGAGTAGATGAGAATCCTCCAAGTGCATTTCTTTGCTGTGAAAGCCATTTTACTACGGGGAGTGCAGAAGCCACATCTCCTAGGAGCGTGTACGTCAAAAGGGCGTAAGATGTCATTTCTACTTCTGCAGAAACAACTGGAAGGAGGGGTGGAGAAAAACAATAATCAAGATACCATCTAGAAGTAAGAATCTTGGTAGGTCTAGAGCCAGTTCTATGAATATTCATTAACTGGAAAATAAAAAAAGATTAGGAGTCTGTAGAAGTAAACACAGGAAGAGAAAAATGAAGTTAAAAGATGTCCGCAAAATGCATCACCTTCCAAATATATCTCTGCTTGGAACACCAGCTCTTTCCTGCACACAATACATAACCTTCTTTCTACTTGACTGATACTTGATTGCATCCCACAAGTCATTTCTCTCCTATTCCAGTTCTACTTTGCTGCTGCCCCTACTGCATTCCTGTCCTAGAGGTTTTTATATGATAGCCAGTTAGATCCCTCCTGATGCACCTATATCATATTAGAAGAGTCAATGGCTTTAAGTGACTTGAAATTTATAGCATCATTCCCTGTTGTTGTGGCTTTGATAGTTAAAAGTCTAGGAAATCAGCTGAAATGCCAGGGACTGCCAATAAAAGCTGGGGGGACAATCCCTAGATCCATGTGGAAACACAAAACTAAACAGCTCTAAAATTAAAACGTGTTTGACTTCTCTCACATTTCCATTTCAAATGATTCCTCTTGGCTGGAATCCCATATGGCTCTCACCCTCCTGTACCACTCACTGTCTTTATAAAACTGAAGTGAAAAATGCTGAGATAGCTGGGGCTGAAAAGACAGTTCTATCTTGACCACATCTTGCTCTGTCTCATATTTGCTCTTAACTGGTTCTTGCAGCATAATGTTACCTGCCTTTTGTGAGCTCTCATTTCCTCTGGACCCTGCCCTGACTCACTGCCATTTTCAGAACCCCTTGTATTATATAAAGAATTCCCTAGAACACATGCACTTGTTGCCCTTCTGCTGCAGCCCATTCACTCATCTCTGCCTTTGCAGTACAAGTACCTGATTGCAAGAGCCCATCATTAAATCCCATGAAGGTATCTTCATCAGTAACAAGAGTTCCTGTCAAGCTCCAGTGTGTAAAGCCATCTAGAAAAACAGGACAGTGGCATATGTATGTTATTACAGCAGGAGTGCAGCTAAGCCTCTGTAAAGGGGAAGAATCAAATCCCATTTTTGCATTGACTCAAAGAACAGATTCCTGCCCTGAACTGCACTGTCCTTCCTTTTAGATAGGCGTCTCCTGGGCAAGAGGCTCCCTTTGCAATTACAAAGATAACTCAGTGTGACAAATTAGGTAATGCTTGGATTTTGGATTAAAATACACCATCAGTGAATGCAACGTGGTCATATTGATAGGAAAGATGCTGCAGAGCCTCTGGTACATTTGCCTTCTTTCAGCATCAGCTGCATGCATGGAACTAAGGTACCACTTCTACAGAGAATCAGGAAAACTCCTGCCTTACAAAGCCAAATTGTGCTGTGAGGAAGACCTCATCTCATGGGCTTCATCCTCTCCAGTAACTCACATCATTCCAGTTGCAAGGGCTATTTTTTCCTCTAAGAGGACTGGCAGTTCAAGGATTGCCAGGCTGGCCTCAGGAGCACAGTACCTTGTGTAATAGCCATGCTGTTCATCTTCCGCAGCATCGCAGCAGCAGAGGGACTGTGTAGCAGTGTCAGGGCATATGCAGTCAGGGCAGTAGTGTACGGATCTTCTGCTGAATACAAGTTGGACTCTAAGAAGTGTTTTGCTTTGTCAACAGCTGTTCTTTCTTCCTATATTTGGGGGAAAGAGCCCAGACACGTTACTGGCCTCTATATCTCAAAAGTTAGAATCACTTTATTTCTCTTTACAAACCAAAAACACACTAAGAAAGATGCATTTTACTCTCTGCAGAATGAAGCTAACTCTTTCCTTTCCCTAAGGAAAGCAATGCATCACACATTCAAGAAAAAAGGAGCAAACAGCAGAGCAAGAATGATGTAGACTAAGACTGAGTCACATTTATTTCCCCCTAAAGCTGAAGAAATTTCATGCCCCTGCAAGGCAGCAGATGAACAGAGCAGAAGTGAACTCTCTACTGTATGTTTGATTGTGTTCCTGACACTCTGGAGCGTCTAGCAGACGCCAGAGGATAATAAAGGCCAAGGTTCCCAGGGATCCCTGCAGCCAACAAACATGTTTTATTAACTCCCTCAATGACCTCACCATGTAGGAACGTGGCTCTGATAATTTATAGAAACAATTTAATTGGACTTGATGTAATTTAGTTTCCTTTGATTTCCCTGTGGCACTAACCTTCCCCTTCCTCATTTCCTAGCTAAGATCATTAGTAACACTTGCAAATCTCCTCTAGGAAAACCATTTGATCCACATAAACTGCACTTCCAGCAAATAAAAATGCTAGGGCTGTCTTGACACACAGCAGCCCAGAGAGAGCATCACATCACTTCTCAGAGGAGGGGGGAAACTGCTGACAAGGAGGCAGAAAGTTACTCTGTGAGCACTGGAAGATTTTGTAAATATATATATTTTTTAATTTTTAATAAGGTTGAAGGCCTTCCACTCCCACAAGAACTGGGGGTCGGGAGGTATCTGCTTGCAGCAGCAGTATGGTTTCGCTCATCAAGCTCTAGAGGGAAGCCATCAGACGTGCCGAGAGTATCACAGAGTTTAGAATAGATACTGCCCTTTGCACTGGCTGTTTCAAAGGCTCCATCAGCTCAGTGGGTTTTGCCTGAATGAACAATGCTTTTGTCTGACTACAGATCACCGAGACATGCCACAACATCCACTACACCTCCAGCTCTACCTGTGCAGACCTTGCCCACCACCACTCTTTTTTTTTTTCCTGACTTGCTCAGCGCATCTGCACGTGGACACGTTCCCGGTCAGACTGCGAGTGTTCAACTATGGTGTTACCTGAGCATCTCCATCCTAGTGAAATTGCATGCAGGCAAAAATACAACAGAGGAGAGGAGCCCTTTTTAGCATGATTTCTAAGAAGGAATCTCTAGATTCTCTAGTATAACACCAGTTGTACTGGAAAAGATTTCTTTTTCCCTGCTTTAAGAATGATGCAGCGTAATTGCACGTTCCTTTGTAGTTATTACTTTTTCTGTAGTGTTCCTGTTCTGTCTCATTACAAAGAAAAGAAACATTTTTCTCCAGAGTCCTCAATCCAGCACATTACAGGAGTGCAGCTCTCCAAAGAGACTGTAATCTAATAGCAGTAGCATTTTGGCCACTGTAGCAAAGGCAGACCACAAAAGTTTCCTGGATCCCTGAAGCCTGTGCAGCCCTGGATAAACTGCTGTTAGCGCTCAGCTACTTACTTAGAGTTTTTGAGTGTATATATTAGTAAACCACCAGTATCTGCATAGGCTGCAATCACACCTTGAAATCACAAGGCAGAAAACACTTTTTGCAGCCATTTCTGTGAGAGGTTGTGGGTTGAGGTTGCAGGGAAGAGTTTTGCTCTGGTAGAACGATCCTTGAGCTGATGGCTGAAGGATGGGAGATCACCCTGAATAACTTCAGAACAGATTCCTTAACTTTAGAACAATCTCAAGGCTTTCCAACAGCCTCTGTTACCTGGATGCTATCACTCTAGTGAGCACAGAACCTTTGAAATGAACAGCAGAAAAATCAAGTTTAAAAAAAAAGAGAGAATTTGTAGAATATATAGAACATGAGAACGATTTTAACTCAGCTTTTGTTACCTCAGAAGTTACACCTGTTTCCAGAAGAGATGCAACCACATAAGCTGTCAGGGAGATCTTACCATGGATTCCACCCTGGAGGGCAACAAACAGAAACCACTGGGTGAAAACTAGAGATCAGGATGCTGGATAAAAGGACTCTTGAGCAAGACAAAAATTATGTTGTAAAGGAAGCTCTGGCATCATGGACCTTCTTTTGCTTTGCACATAAGAAGTATGAAATTTAGGAGCCCCACCAACGTTATAGCTGCCTTCCCTACAAACAGCCTGAGGACACACTCAATGAACAGAACTTCATACTCCAAGACATGACTCTAAAGTATAAGAATTGACATCTTGGTTTCAATTCCCATGGGACAGCACACAGATACCCAAATTCTCCTGGTTCTCCCTGTACTATTGTAGCCTTTCAAGTGTAATATTCATATTAGGCCATAAGGAAACTGCATCACTTCATGCTTTGAAAATAACTTCAAAAATGCAGTTCTTACAGAATTTTGAGTCTGTAGAGTTTTTACCTGAATGTCCTTATTTAGTATCCTGCCCATAGCAGGAAAAGAACCATCTTCTTTCTGATGCTGGATGATCCAGTCTTTGGCAGCTGTTAGTTCTTTTGGGTCAATGAAAATAAACCCACGAGACTGTGCAAAGGACTTGAGGACAAAAGCTGTGAGCCTGTAAATAGGAATTTATTATCTTTACTGAGAAAACAAATTTAGAAGAATGTATCAGTGAAGGGAAGACGACATTCTTAGAAAGCATCAATATTAAAAGTCTTGTTGGGGAAACACAAAATATTTTTAAAAACCATTGATGGTATAATAAAAGCACTTGAACATTGTCCAAACTTCTGGATAAGAGCAGCATTAAAGGTCAAATTAAATTGAAAAGTGTAACAGGAAGATATATTTGTCTTAGTTATAACACACCCTAAAATTCACTTCCCTTTTATAGATGCTTGTCTGTTACCCAAACTATTAAAGCTTTTAAATTAAGAATCAGCATCCTTATAAATATGGAATTACTTGTAAAGAAAAGAGAGGAGTAAGTTTTCCGATTCTGTTACTGTCTTAACTAAAAATAAAAGAAATCCATTGCTAAAGTCTGAGGCTGTGTTAGGCTTCATACAGAATTAAGACTTAAGAAAACAACAGGAGTGTTTTTGGAATTCTAAACCTCTGACATGCAACAAGTGTGAACTCTGGCCAGCTTTGGAAATTGAATCATTCCATTTACAAGCCTCTAAGGAATGGGAGGGTAGAAAGCATGCTGCCTGGCAGGGGATTTTTCAAGTGTTAAGTAATACTGTGTCACCATATTTTATATCTAGGGACTGGGAGATGCCAGATCAAAGTTTACAATCTTAGAAACAGTGAGGCAGCAGCATCATAGAAGTGGTACTTCCCCTCGGACGAGTTCATGAAGAAAATCAGTTTAAAGCAAAATAAAGACAAATGACAGCACAAGCAAATGAATGAAGACCAGAATCTACTACATCTGAGCCATTACAGTCAACTAACATGCTGATGTGATGTTAATCACATAGGCTGTGGTTTCCTAAGGGGGACATGAGTGAGATGAGCTGATTTTTCAGTTTCTTTCTTTCATGTTTTTTGACTCTGAAAGGTTCTGCACCTCAATTCTCAGGGCATAAATCTGTACCATTCCATTTCATCCATGATGGGATATCAAGCACTTGGGAGAAAGGCTTTGGGGTTTTTGGGGCTGGTTTTGGTGGTGGGTATTTTTTTCCCCCTATCCTGGTAGAAGCCTCCACCACTTCCAGAGACAGCAAGTTTCCCTGTAACATGCTTCAGGTGAAGCTCCAATCCCTAGTGGAATTAGATGCTTAAATGCCCCATGTATTGCTAATTCCAATTCCAGTAGACCAAATACAATCCTAAAGGCCTAAATCCTGGACATACAAGTAGGTGTGACTATCTTAACTGCCCCTCAGTCTTGAAACAACTATAATACACCTACTAGTGTAGTATGAACACTCAGCAGCATTGAAACAGTAAGTCTATGGTCATTGAGTATGATTTCTATTCTCCACTGTGTGTGATACCATGATGGAAGCTGGAAAATTACTCTTCTTTCCTTGCCAATTGTGTATTTTTCCCATTTAGCAAACACTGAATTTTCTAACTCTGTTTTAAATAGCAACTCACCACATGCTCCCCGAGGAATCCCTCTCGCCAAAAGCACTGTATGAACCATCTTGTCTCTTGTAGGTCAGCTGACGCTGGTAGCCTGAAAGTCACAAAAGAATTGGGGGAGTCCAAAAATCCTCACACAGAGAAAAACAAGTATTTCAAGTGAATGAAGACTCAGACCATCTGGCACTAGTGTAAGGGATTCTGCTGCCTGAGGCAACATCTCATTTTGCTGTGAGGGACAGAGCCAGCTCTGTGTACGAACACTGTAGCTTACTCGGAAATCCATTCAGGCAAGCATCTGTAAGACTACAACTCCTGTTAAAAACATGATATCCCTCTGGAAAGATGCAGTATTAAAAGAAAGATGGTTATTTAAGCATACAGCCATTCTCCATCCAGTTTACTGAAAGCACTGTGCAAATGAACATTTCTTTTCCAAGTTGAATGCTGAAAAGAAGAACTCTCTACTGGAATGTCTTTAGAGACTGAAAATAGTCAAAATGCTTTTCCTATTAGGCTTCTCAAACCTGTTTGTCTTACAACCATGAACAGCCCCTCCTAATAAAGGGAACTCCTCTCTATTGAGGAATACAGAACACACCCGTTGGTAAAGCCCACTGGAACCAAACCCTTCAGAATGGGTATTTCTGATATGGAGATGTGTCAAACCTCCAAGAAGACTGTGCCAAAGACAGTGCTTGCTTAATTCTCTGACACAAGTAGACGTTTTCTTCCACATTGCATGGCATTTTTATGGGAATGGATTACTTTTTCATTTCCAGAATGTTTCTTTGGTGATCTCTCCAGATACAGGAAGCTCCACAACCCCTGAGCAAGGGCTGCCCGTGACTCCTACACTTTCTCTGTTGCTCTACAGCTTTTCAATAGTCTTAGGGAATGCTGAAAGAATGGTTTGAAAAATGGGAGGAACAGAGCTCGAGAGATTAATGATGCTCTTGTAGTAAAAACATCTTTGTGTGGGGGTTCTGGGATATATACAAGTATGTGGCAGAAAGCATTAGATTGCTTCTTCTACATAGCCCTCATAATTTACTAGTGAGCACTTCCTCCTTAAATTGTTCCTAAGTGTTCACTTCCAGTGCATCAGATGGACCAATTAACTACTCACATTTTTGTATCAGTCTTATTTCCTCTGTTCTTTCATTGAAACATTCATTTTGAGCTGACTTATGCTTCATTGCTCTTACAGTTATTCTTAGTTGCTTGCTAGGTTGGTAGTGGAACAGACTTTATGCCTCGCTTGCTCCTGAAATTTTCTGGTTCTAAGCACTTCTGTACATGTTTGGGCTCACAGGAGAGGTTCAGCTTTCTAGATTTCCCCTGTTCACCTGCTTTTGTAGCTGGGAAAGTAGAAAAACTACTGCCTAGTTTAGCTAAGGCCACTTCTAAAGACCAAGATATGGAAACTCTTGGGTAGCAGTACTTTCTACAATGGATGACTAAGCGATGAAAAAGTGTTCTGGCTTGGTAAGTCACAGAAGCCTTCAGAATAAGCAAACAGACTTTCCCATCTAAAACCTTATACTTGGCAGGGCTCCAATACACACAGAAAAGTTTAAAGCTCTTGAGTATTTCTTCTATAAGGGTTAATCCCCAGGCAGAGTTTGGAGCCAAAAACCTGGAAGGTTTGCAGATTTGTAAAAAGAAACAAAAGCAAATAATATTGCAAAGGAAACACTGACCTGGACTATGGAAAAACTCCCTTTGTCTTATTGCTATCAGCAAGCACAAAGAATGACAAGTGAAATGCCTTTAGCCAGGCAAAGGAAGCAGCACTGGGCTTTTGCTGCTGAATACAAGAAATAGATCACACATTACACTTAAGATTTATATTTTCAGAGGAGAACCACCTAATCCTGTCACCTCTGATTTCATGGCATGACTATTGTCTGACTCATACACAAGACAACTTTGTCCCTTTGGGTAATTCTTGTTTTTAATGATCACTGAATTCTGACTTGTCCTGAGAATTGTATTTAGTTATAAAACTATTTTGCATGTGGCTCTTCCCAAACAAATGCTGAGAAAAACAGTGCATAAAAAGAGAATGCTTTGAGCTGTTCAGTGAGGTAGGATAGGACACTGAAAGGACAGATAAGAGCCTTTGTCCTATGGCTCTAGATTAACTACTCTGGATACTAAGTTTTGATTTCTGGTACACTGTTACTAAGAAATAGTGTTAAAAAAGGGAAAGTTCAGAGAAGAGACATGTAGTAACTCGAAAGACAACTTATTAATAAGACAAACCCTCTAAATATACAGATTTTTACTAAGTTTAATTCTCCTCAACTTTCTGGAATATTTAAACATAGAAATAAGCTGCCTAAGGGGAAAAAAAGATAAAATATAAAGCAATAAGCACGTAAGCTAGGAGTTATTGAAGGGAAATGCTGGTTACATAGCAAGAGTGAACATCTTGCCATTAAATTCTGTTCACCTGTGAGATTATCCTCCAGGAAACGATGAATCCTTAGCACTTGGGACACTGTTGATTAGAAAGTACAGTGTGATACTAGTGATAAGCTCTCTAACTTACAAGCCTCCTCCCCTCTAGAAATTCTAAGTGTAATGAGTTACCTTGAACAAGGTAATCAGTAGCTTCGCTCTCCACCTCATGACTGAGTTGTTTGGTTTTCTGCAGGTATTTCAGGACAAAAACATTAGGAGCAAAATGGATCATGTTCTGCTCCCCACATCCAAATGGTAATCGCAAAAGATTGTCCAAGTTGTTCAGTGTAGGACCCATCACATCTCCTGTTTGAAAAAGAGGCAGTATGTTCAGTAGCAATGGCTTTACTTCATCTTGATATCTTACAGTTAATATCCACCTTACTACACTGAAGTCTACTAGCTACAGATAGTCATCTTAAAGAAACTAGATCATAAATTGAAAGTCCTTTAAATGTTAAGTCTTAGCCCTTCAAGCTCTTGCTGGGATAAAGAAATTTCACATTTTAGAGTTTGTTGTCCATGACTCCCCAGTTTAGACTCTGACTTTAAACACAGCACAGTTTTTGATTATGAAAGGAATCCTCTGAATTCTAACAGACAGTGACTCTGCAAAGCTGAGGTATCAGATGGTATCAACTCAAACAGGGTTCAAACAAATGACCAAAAATCCCCCAAACAATAATTTGTCCCTGAATTAAGCAGCATACACCTGTGACAACCTATCACTCTCTTAGATGGCATGTATTACTCAAATACTGGTCAGAAGCAAGTAACAACTGGAGTATCTCTTCATATTTGATAACTGGTACCTAGTGATACCTCCTCATAAGTGATACCTATTATTGAAGCCGTAGCTCTTTCTGATCCTGGAATTATGTTGTGGGGAACTCCAAGAGTAAATGCTTCATTGTGATTTTCATCAGTCTCTTCTTTTCTCCAAATTTTAAACTCTCCCATTGACCCCCAGCCTGTGGAAAAGCCAATGTACTTCACCTCAAGCTGTTTGGGGACTGTCCACTCCACAATAATAGACTCATTTAGCACCCGAGTACCATGGCCAACCTGAAAGGAACAAAAAACCATGCAGTTCCAAGAACCCACATGTATGAAGTCAGTCTGCCATGTATCCTTGGACCTAACAACTTCTGTGTGCATCAGAGAACACTGTAGATGGATCAGTACCTTTCTCTTTCCCACCCAGACAACAATCCAAGGAATTTTAATGAGAATTCCAAAGGCTTGACCTCCATAGCTTTCAGCACACTTAGCACCAAAAGCATCAGAGACTGAGGAACTGAGAACATAATTTGGCAAGCTGATATGTTCTGATTAAAACAGCCCAATCAAGACTTACTATAGAAAAAGCAACAGGAATGCAGCTTTCACCTTCCTAAGGAAGCCTAATAGAAATCCGCCACATGTGTGCTCAATCTCTATTTAAGAAAGCAAGAGACTTCCAGACCATTTCATAGATAAATTCAGTACCTGGATAATTCCATTTTTCCAGCTGATCCAGAAGCTGCGGAATTCATCCCAGGAGAGGATACCAGCTGTGTCCCTGCTGGCCACCGGCTCACCCATTTTGCTTATGGAAATCCATGTTTTAGTATTTTGATGTCCACCAATAACAATCTCTGTCATCTCTGCCATGTCATGAGGACCAGAGGACAAGGCCAGGTGAGCATCATTGTGTGCTTTCACAGAGATGTCAAAGTGGGTCATCTGGGCAGGTTTTTGCATGTATTGGTACTCATATTTGTTAGGTGTAGAAATGTGTATTTTCTCTAGTCAGAAAAAGAATGGGATATTGTAAGAATTAGAGTTTAGCTCAAATACTTCAAAACCAACCCATACCTAACTACTAAAGTTTAAACATACTTTTCCTAAGCACATGTTCTTTTTTCCATCCTCTCTTAAACAAACTATAAAAGTACACATGGATGTTTCTTCCCATCTTCTATTTATACTCCCTTCCAATACAGCTGATCCTTCAATTCAAACAGCTGAGCTGGAATTCTTATGAAGTCTGTGAGTGATTTTTCAGTTCTAATCTAGTGGTCAAAAGCATCTCTGTTCAACTACTGGAGTCAACTCTGAGCTATCCAAATCTCAGGCAGAAAGCACATATTTGATTCCAGAAGTGAATTTTAACACATCAACTGCGAATGCAGCACAGTCACAGTTACTGTCCACAGTGCTGAATGCTGAACCTGTTCTGAAAGTAAAGGAATTCAATTGCCATTTCCAGAAATCACTTGGGCAATTAGAGCAAATTCATAATTAGCCAGCCAGGGAAGAAGGACTCTTTATTCAGAAGTTCCTTCTACACCCCAGAACTCATCAATCACACAGAAATGGAAACAAAGGGGTTTATTATTATTTTTCCCCATGAGATGAAGCCATGTATTTCTATTTATAACTAAATCAAACAAACTTAATATCTCATTCAAATCATGAACTTACCATTTGGGCAGAAGAACACACTATAGGTGTATTCTCTGGACAGTCCCTCTGGCTATATAAAGACAGAAATCCATACATAAAAACACAGGGCTTGGATTAGCAGTAACAGCTATTCAGTTTTACTTACAAAACACAGAAACAATATTCTGCTGCTGTACAGTGGTTTATACCCTTAGTTCTTACACTATAGTCCATTAGCTAGAGAGATGCTAACCACAAATCTCACATTGCAGCACATCAGTTAGACGAACAGAGCAAGCTTAGCTGAGAAAATTTCTATCCCGTCTTCTTCTGACCAGTACTGAAGATTCACCAGCAGGAACTCAGAATCCAACAGGCTCTTTCTGTAAATGCACCACTAAAACTGATCATTTCCAAGAATATAAACGTAAATCAACTTGAAGATGCTTATAAACCTGTTCATATACGATTGACTACCTAAAAACTTCCATCATTTGCCCAAGCAGTTACAATTTCTTTTCTGAATTACTACAAATTCCTGTTTTCTTACCTCAATAATAACACTGCTGCGAACATAATCCACTGCCACTGGGGTCCTTCTGTCCAGATAATTGTCCTCTGAGTGCTTGCCATTCTTTAAGGTCTGCATCCCATCCTGACAGCAACTGGTTCCACCATAAGCAAAAGCTTTTGCTAAGAAACAGAAAGGGAAAGAAGCAGAGATTTTGAGATAGGATGATCTTCAGAAATTCAAGTGATGATCTAAACTAATTAGGATACAGTTGATTAACAATATATTGAGTGTTTTGTAATTACAGCTCTCTTATAATCACCTTGATTCCATATTTGAATGGTCCCATCTAAAACTGGACAATATTTGGACAGTCACAGAGCAACAGAGAAACTCTTTCCTAGTTTCTAGTGTAGCACAGTTTTTATAGTGATTATTTGCTTGAAAGAGACACAGAATTTATTATTATTCTCTTTTTAAAAATGGCAACTGATCTTTTCAGGCAGAGGTGACAAGTCCACACCTTCCATGACCACATATCATACAACAGGGAACCTCCTGAAGTGTGTTCAGACCGACTCTTCGGCTCATTACAGTTAGAGAAGCCATTTCTAAGAAACAAATGAGGTTGAAGAGCAAAGTTGGCAGTAAGTGGAATGAATGATTCCACTTTGGGGTATGAAGGCAATAAGAATTTTCTTCTGAAAGAGGAATACAAAGGAACACTTGTAAAAGTCCTTCAAGCAGCAAGCTAATTTTATATCTATACTACCAGTGATGTTGCTCAGTCCAAGCTCATTGAAGGACAAAACGATAGAGGTGGGTTTAGCTTCCCCAGGGGCAACGCACTTCTTTCTTGTCAGATGGTGTTTCCCAGGATGCCCAACAAACTTTATGCCTTTTGGAACAGAAATCTTCACGTGGACCTGTGGAAATATTGGAATGCAAATTTCAGCTGCAAAAACCAACTCACAACCCAAAACTGAAACCCACAAAATGCTTAATAAAAATCATAGCATGCACAGATTATTCATTCTTCAACCCTTCCAGTAATGTATTTGACTGACAGTATTATTTTCAGCTCTGCAATTCTACAAGTAGTTCAGCGTGATACTATTAGAGCTAGACAGATAACGTGTTTGAGAAGAAAACATCTAAGGAGACAGGATTTATTGGAAAAACCCTCTTTCAAAACACACCCTTTCAGTAGCTTTCTGATTCTAAAGGACATTCTCTGTGGTTCAGGACAAGCTTCCCAATTGTCATTCCTACAGTATTCAATATTTGTACTTCTGACGTGTTGCAAGACACTTCAGACTACTACAGTTGTGTCAAGGTAAAAGTAAATAAAGCCATGACATTAATGCATATTGAAAAGCAGTATTTTTATCTGAGCTTATCACTACGTTACCCCTAGACCTTATCTGCTGCAGCCTGTAGATCACTTTAGGAAATTCTGATGATAAACCAGGATTTAGTAACTTAGCAACAGGACTAAAAAGGGCTGTTACCTCTACACAGACAGCTAAGTAGTTGTAGACAGTCAGTGGGATTTTGGTCTGCTCCCCCCGGATGACATGGTACGGCAATGTGAACTCGATGAAGAAAGGTTTAAATGTCTTCAGTTCTGTTTGAGTGGCAATGCCCAACCCCTGCTCCTCAGACAGCCCCACAGCTTCTGTGATCCAGGTAGTGATGGAGTCTGGCACTTCCACGTGCAGCTGTGCTTCTCCAGACACATTGCTGCCAAAGAGAACAGGGAATCACTTGGGTTGCTCAGATTCATGAAATGCTTTTGAATGAAGCTAAAACACATAGACATTTTGGGGAGCTCCCTCCAGATCACAACTTGCTACATAGCATCAGCATCTGCTTTGAACAACAGCTTAGAAAAGGCTCAGTATACACATTTATAAGGAGCAGAACAGCCAGAAGTTGCTTCTGCAAAACACAGTCTAACATACAAATACTTCCTGGATTAAAAGCTTTACAGGCATTTGCAGCCTCATTAGAGAGTCACTTTTCTTAGAGGCAAACGTCTGCACTAAGTCAAGAGAGGAGAAGGAAATAGTCCTGGGTAAAACCAGTTCTGCAATCATTATTTAACAGCTAGTGAAATTAAAGGGATTTTTGTTGGAACCCATTGGAACCCATTATACACCCTTGTATATATTGCTGCACTGCAGACTGCTTGAACATAAAAGCACATGAGAAGTTTTCCAGACACCAAGTTCAGCAACTGCTTATCCAGAGGAGCACATTTTGATTCAGGAACATTGCGGTTGGTTGGTTTTTGGAATGCCTGACTCAGGAAATCTCCAAAACCATCATTTTCTTCCAGTGAGGATTGAAACTAATTATTAAAAATCAGATTTCCATCCTGAGTATTTAGCTTTAACGTGCCCACCACAACAGTATATCATAAACCTGGTATCCTCTCCCATGCTTTTTAATAGTAGAAATTCACTTTTGTTCTGCAGACTTGGCTATTTCCCTGCTGCAAAGAAGCTTTGGCCTTGCCTGGAACAGAAAACATTTCCTCTAAAGTAAAAACAAAAGCTATTTCATGGCTCAACTGGCAAGATGACTGGCAGTTACGAATACACTCTAAGGTTGCTTGCTTTCAAGTTCTTGTTTGTTCCCCAGAGCTCATACACATGCTGCTAGCTATGTAATCTTTTGAGACTAATGTGTTGGCTTGGAAAACGAGAAAGCAAGATCTTCAGAATAAGCTCTGAGTGTCCATTCACAGCATAACATTCTGTCTTTCAACGCTGGGATACAGCCTGATCCACATCCAGGACAGACTGCAGGGTTGTGATCTCACTGCTGGTCCATTGGCACCAATGAAGTGTCTTTACTTTCATCATCTAAAATGAATGGTTTCTAATTTTCAACGAGCTTAAGCTATTGCAACTGGCAGTAAATAGGCAGCATGTCAGGTGCTAGTCTGTGTATTTAAATTACAGTAGGAAAGGGATTAAAATAAGTAGTTTGATAAAATCCTAGAGGTCACTATGCCTTGGAACAGCACTAGGTTCACCAAGCGCTCTGGTCTATGGTTCCCCAGCTCAAACTAGAGTGGAGACCCCGGGAAATACACTTGGCTTGATAGCACCAAGTCATTTTCATTTCTATTAAGCACACTAGTGTCTTAACACTTAGGTCTTCATCCTAACTGGAGTTAGGTAGCTGGTACCTACAATAAACTTCAGCCCTGAAGAGTAAGCAGAAGGGTGTCCTCGCTCCAGAACTGGCAGTATTCCAGTCTGTTTAACCGGACAATTTGTTGCAGCTGATGTTCTTTCCACTGGGATTTCAGCCCATAACCAGCATTAACATTATTTTCACACATGAGGGCGCTTACTCTTCTGGGCAGGGGGCCAAAGTACACACACATTTCCAGCCATTAGACCCTCCAGCCAGGCTCTAGGAATTTTTAGAATTGGTTTGGGAAGTTGACATTAGGCTTTTGTTTCTGGGTTGGGGTTTTTTTTGAGGATTGTATATTATAATTATAAATGGTCCAAGAAAACCAAAAATTCTTCCTGTTCAAGGGAGTGGAAATCAAGGAATGCTCAGTTGTTTCTAATGAAATGAAGTGGAGAAAATGCAATCTGCAACTTTTTATTCCACACTCTCCCACTTATAATTAACTGGCCCAGCTTGCTGAGGCCCAAACAGGCACTTCTGGAATTCTTTGTGTATTTCTCCAAAGCATATTTCATGCTCAATTGAGCAGATTTGAATACACTTGCTGCAAGTTCTTGTCAAATTTAATTTATAATCATTTATTGAGAATGAAGTTTACTTGCAAACCTGGAGAAGCCTTTTAATAATTGCTTCAAATTATCCTGATGTGCTCTTTCTGGAAGAGATTAGTTATCTGTTCATTCAGTTTGTTTTTAGTTCCAATTGTAACCCAGTGGAAAGCATGATTTATTAGGCAGTAAATTAAGGTTACATCAGCTGGAAGAGAAAGAAGGGCTCTGTGCAATTTAAAATAGGATACTCACCAACCCATGGTTAGGCTTTAGCAGCATATACAGAAGCAGCTATTCTGGCTCCATCTCCTCACACACCGCAAACCTATATCCCCACTTGCTCCTCAATAACTTGTTGATACACCATTTCCGTAAGTGAGTAAAACCTGGAAATGTGTTGAACCAAACCACTGCTCCTTTTTTCCCCTGAAGATACTCCTCTGCCCTTGACACCATGGTGAATCATGCATGGGTTGCAGTGTATTCACAACTGGCAGGCTCAACTCTAAGAAGGTGAATACACTTCAAGACCAGATGAAAAGTTAGAAAGAAAGACTCTTGATCAAAGCAGTAATGAAGAAAAGGAACAATAAAGAGAAGTATCAGAGGGTGCCAATGGAACTCCAGTAGGTTTTAAAAAGCTTTGTTTTCTGTAGTTGAAGAGAATACAACTCTCTGGATGTAATTAAAGGAATTCCCTGTCAATACCTGACATTGAGGCAGTGCCAAATCCACGTTTCAGGGAAGAAGGTTCTTTTTCTCTTCTCTGCTCTGCTAAAACAAGAAATAATTCCTTGCCAATGAATTCTTTTAGTAAGACAGTTTTAACAGTAACTGACAGATCATTGTTATCCCCTGAATGCAGCTCACATGACCAACCAAACTCTAGCTAGTATAGATTCATTACAAAGTGAATGGGCATATCATTCTGGACACACACTGTCTTTCCAAATGATCCCATTGTGCACACACACATCAAACAGTCTGAAGACATAAATGAGAATCTAAAGAAATTAGTATAAATAATATTATGTTATTTATGTTGGGTTTTAAGGAAAGAGAGTTTTATGATCCAAATTCTTTCACCAAAAGAAATCAAAAGGAGCTTTTAGCGCATGTAACTTCCCATGAGATCATGACATGGCCTTACTAATAGCAGTTACCCCAACCACTACTTTATATTCCCTCTGTTTCTTCTCTTGGAATCGTCTTGGTCTCTCATATTTTCATAATTGAGTTATTTTTCTACACCTGTGATGCTTCGTTACCCTTTTTCTTAACTAACCTCCAAACCTCCCTCTGCTAAGAGAGGCCACCAGGTGGCTCAGAACCCAAAGGGAGCTGCAGCATCAGCCAGAGTATATTACACTCCCTCATTGCAGTTCTTTCGACCACCAGATGAATGACCAAAACCATGAGCAATGAGCAACTCTGCAAAACCAGGGCCAGCTTGCACATACTGAGAAGCCACAACTCATTCACAGAAAGCAGAGATTCAAGTGATCACTTGGAAGAATATTACTTCACATTTTTCCATAAGCAGTTTAAATTTAATGAAGTAGTCTCAGTTATAAGTTTTGTTGGGTCTATCAGGAGTTTCCTCATGACCCCCTTGTCTAAACCAAGCAACTTCCTGGGGGCATGGAAGTGGAAAAGAGCTGAGAATATAGAAAAAACCAGCTCTGAGTATCATAGACTATATGTATTACAGCAAAAACGTTACCTTGGTGCTATTTTAGAATGCATTGTAGCCACCAATGTCCCCGTATGTGGCTGAAAAGCTGGGACAGCCTCATCTGTGTACATGCCTCCATTCTGTCTGTGGTTTAAGCTGACTATATCAGTCATTACAACCAAGCCAGTTTCCTAAACAATAGAAGTGAAGTCCACAAAACAAAAACAAGCAAGGGGAAAAAAAAAAGAGAAGAAAAGATAAGAGAATTAAAACATGCACCAATAAAAACTTTTTGGACAAGAATCCCCCAAACCTGTGCCAACATTTCCAGGGTAAATTTCAATTGGAACTTGAGGATTTTTTTAAAAACTTAATATAAAAATGTCTGTTAATGTGAAAATATGTAGACACTTCACAGGCAGAAGCTTTATGAGAAAGCTCTTGTTTGCTTGGAAAATGCATGTAAACCAGTATCTAACATTTCTGGGCATATGCAAGTGCCAGGCAGTTACAGGTGAAAAATTATTACACATATTTTTCCCCTAGAACATGACATTACAGCTTTTTACCCTTCTTAAAAGCTTCCAGTGTGTTCTGCTACAGTTAGCAGGCAGCTCTCACATCAGACATCACCAATCCTGCC